CTATGTTTTAGTTAAATATGTTTTTATTTCATATTAATATGGTACTAAATAATATTTATGCAGTAGTTATAATCAATTTATTACCACTTTTTAAACACACCTAAAAAATACATTTCCAACTTCAGCTGTTATAAACCTTGAATGTTTTGGAGCTTAAGTCTGGTCTTTTTTTTTTTTTAAAGAAGACACTTGGCAGATTATTGCTGTTTTTTTTTTGTTTGTTTTTTTTGGTTAAACTAAGAAGTTAAAGTTTATTGCTATGAAAAATGCACAGCACTATTGAAAATACTATTTTCAAATGTTGTATGAAATCAAAATATATCTAGCAGAAGCTCAGTTTTGAATTCTTGAGTGTTTTCAAACTTGTCTGAGAGAAAACAATGCAGTATACCAGGTTTTTTTATTTATTTATTTTTAATTTATTTTTTTTGGACAGTGCTCTCTTGCCATAATTATAGGGCACTAGATAGAAAACAGGAAATGTTCGACTGGCAGCTGTGTGACTGATGTGTGATCAAAATGTGAGTCAGGGTCATCCACGAAGCAGAAACATAAAACACGATTTTAAACAAAACAACCAAATAATGAATGCATATATAACTTTTAAAACAAGTATATTCTTTTGAAAATGCTTTATTGGGGCTTATGAAATCTATTTCTGAGATCAAATTCAGGAGAGAGTTAACAAGACTCTTAGGTTATTATGAGCACAAAAAATAGGACACATTATAATATTTTAAAGGAGACATCTCCCCCCACCCCACAACAAAAATCATAACAAATATATCATCATATAATAAAACTATATTTGTTTATGCTATTCTACTGTGGATCAATATTCATCTGTAATATTTTACCAATGAATTTCCATTCGTGACCAGTGGAGGTCGCAAAGTGTTTGTTTTTGCGTTTTCTGTGATTTATTTTTGAATGTCACACGAAACTCTCTTTTAAGACCCGTCAAGTTAGCAAACTTTTGAGACAATACTTGAGGAGTAATGAGGTATAGGCTGTTGCATCTTGTTCTTTGGTATATTAAACTTTTAATATAGATAAAATTATGGGCAGGACATTTAAAAAAAATAAATAAAAAATACAATAGGATGCCACAGCAATGAACATAATTTGCTCATTGCTAGTCTGCAAAAAAATCAACCGCCTCAACATTTAGGAGTTCACTAGCATATTGGTGACCTCCAAGTTAACACACAGGGATTAAAAACCACAAAACTTTAATTTTGATTTCATGTATTTCGTTGTAGCCTATGTGATCCTTCTGTTACTCATTTGATCTTATATTGGACCACTACAATCGTTTTATTTGCCTCAACAATCTATAAACAAGATTGCTTCTAGTATCAACGTAATATTCCACTTCAGATATAAAACGTCAGTAGCAGTCCTTGTGTATTTTTATCAGTGTTGGGCAGTAGGCTAACTAGTTACTAACTTAGTTACTGTAATAATATTAGGCTACTTTTTGCAGTAACTAGTAGCTAGTGTAATTAATTACTAATAAGATTTCAGTAATAATATTACAGTTACCATCCATAAAACAGTTTAGTTAGTTACTTTTGGTGCCTCAACTTTAAAATTGACAAATTTAAACAATCAAATAATTCCTAGATTTATTTTCATAATTTTCACGACTCGCACATGCATGTGATGTCCCCAGTGCAGCAGGCAAGCTTGGAATATGGAAAAGCTTACATTCAGCAGATAGAAATACTGCATTATATTGATTTTGTCAGGAAAAAAAAAGATGATCTGAGCACTGTTGAGTAAGTTGTGGCTTTACTTTACTCTGACATTACATCCCACCCACATCCCTCTGATCAGCATGTGGTACATTCTATTACTATAATTAAAAATCTTTTTGGGAAAATTAAACAGTTTCTTACAAACTTATGTGATTTGATAAAATACATAATGAAATATAATCGTATATAGGTAACGGAGAATTTACAATTAGCTTCAAGATACACATGACAATTAATGAGATTAATACAACGCTTCTACTTGAAGGTCACTATCAATCACTATTGAGTGTTTGTAATAACTTCTGACTGCGATCCAGTGTGGATTTTGGTCAAATGATGAGGCAGAAATATGTTGTTAGTAACATTCTAGATTAAGAATTTTATGTGGAAGATACACAGTTACAACTTCTGTGGGGCGTGAAGAAAAGGTAATGTAACTAGTGTAACTAATTACTGTTGCCAGAAAGTAATAAGTAAATTAACAATATTACTTTTGAAAGGAGTAACTAGTAATGAGTAATATATTACATTCTTTGAGTAACTAGCCCAACACTGATTTTTATGTACTCAATATAAATACTCTACCCTGAGTGGGAAGGACAAAGTCTGGTCTCATTTCGAAAGTGTCTTGTTCGTGGTTTCAAGTTTCTGCCATGATTCCGCTTGTTCGCAGGTCACATTTATCCCTAGTTAATCATTGCATCATTATTACACAGTTTAGCTAGCGGGTCTTCCTGCACACAGTGCATACCTCAGAAATATTCATTTGTATTCGAACTTAGTCCATTAACGTGAACATGTGCAGTCTTGAATGTGAGGTAGTGGATGCTAAATGCTATGACTCATGGGGCTTTTTGCTGAGTCACATTTATTTCCTGTGTATTGTATTTTTGTTTGTCTTAGACTTTCCTATTTCCAGAAATTGTGCACGTTAATTCAACCACCTCACTCTTAATACTGTTAAATGCCATGTTTACTTTTGCATGAGATGTGTTTATTTGTCTCTGGCTGAGGTTTCAGTCCTGCTCGCTGCTCTAAACTCGTCCCTGTAGAGCGGTTGCTATAGCAACACTCTATACTTGCACATATTTTGGCAGTTAAACCCGTTCAGGTCACTGTGTAAAACACAGGCCTACACAAAAGACAGCTCATTTGACAAACAAGTCATAGTTTCATTGTGTTTTTCTGAGGGGCAGCTCTACATGTACTAAACAACGTAGAGCCAGATACCATTTGAGCAATTCAAATTATCTCATTTATGTAGAAATTAAGCAACTTGTGCTTGCATTGTACAAAATGACTTAAGTTAGCAAAACTTCGTCTGGACAAAGAATTTCGATGAAGATGTTTTGTAATCCTAGTTGTCATAGCTAGTCATGCAGATACTCATTTTTCTGACAAAGAAAGAAAAAAGGATATTTGAGGCAATGGTTTTTGAACAAATTCTGTATTAATAAAATAACACAAAAGCACAAAAACAAACATGAAAAAGCAATGCTACCGTACACATTATTCAAAGACATTCAGACCTGATAAAGTAGTCAGAGTACAAAAAATGTCGATTACACTTTACAGTAAGGTACCGTACTTTTTAACATTGTCATGTTATGGCTTTTGCGTTCACTTGTTTGTAGTGTTCAAGACCATATTGTGAAGTGTTACCAACACTGTGAAGTTTCAATCAACAACTTCAGTTTTATATGTACCATACAAAGTACCATAGCTATGAGCAATTATTGGGTGAAAAATAAGCATGTGATCATTGTTTTTCCACTGACCTCATCATGCCATTAGCTGAAGAGGAAAAGAGAAAAGGAAATGAACACAACTTTCAGTATTGAAACGGAACTTTTTATACGCTTGCATACCAATATATATGAAGACCACAATGAAGGATGTATAACACCCTTGATTAGTACCTACTATTATTTGAGGTAACAAACTTTTCTTGTGTTTCATCAGCATTATGGAGATTCTGTGCAGTCTTTGTCATGAAAATTGTTGGCTACTGACATCAATATTAATTTTCTCAGTTCAGCAATCTTTGTTTTATCTTCTTCACTCTCGACAACTGGATTCTTGTTCATGTTAATGCATTAGCCTGCAGTTAGTCAAATTAACTAGGTTAGCACTTTTAGCTAGTTAAGGTTACAGTTAGGGTTAGCTGAAACAAACAGCATATTTGAAGCTTTCATAACATGCTCTTGATCGCTTATGCACCACAAAATAAAAAAAATAAAAAAATCAATCCTTATATTTTACAAAAATGCATAGAAAAAAAGCATGCTGTACATTTAATAGTAAAAAGCATATTGATCAAAAATGTCCCAACCTCAGTATAAAAATAATGTGAGGGTGTATAACAAATAAATTCACTTTAGGTATAAAACTATGGGGGATAGATAAAGCAGTTGATGGGTGAACGTGTAAATGAAGCTTTACATTGAGGATAATACAATTTGTAAAGAAAAAAAGACCATTAAACATTAATGTTGTTGTTGTTGTTTTTACATGTGTAGCATGTAATATGACATTAATTTCTGTAAAAAAATATTATAGTACATACTCAGTACCTAATTAACATAGTCACCAATGAAAATACAACAAAGGTATTATTGATGATCTTAAATGAATAGCTTTTCAAAATTGAAACTATTTTTAAAGGAAAAATAATGTAGTGTTGTACAGTAATGGGATTTCCACAAAAAAGTGGTTATATTTAATGACAATTATGAGACATGATTTTGTCCCATCAGGACCAGAATAATGAGTAAACACACATAAAAATAAATCTAATTTGAAGTTGAATATGGTGATTTAAAAAAAAAGAAGTGCTGTAACAGTTCCCAGTACTGCAACACCCCAAGCCATGCAAAATCACGTCAATTCATTAAAGGCATAGTTCACCTGATAATAAAAATCTGCTTTGCAAGTGAAAACAGTCCAAAATGGTTCTAAACAAAATATGTTGGTGTATTTTGATGTGAGAGGACAGCAGCGGACATGCAGACTTTTTCACTGGAGGAAGTGTTGTTAGATTATGGACTCATAGTTTGGCCAGAAGAGATGGTTTAGAATTCAAAGCCTTAAAGATGCAAAAAGACATTAATAGATGGACTAGTGGATTATTGTGATGTTTTTATCAGCTGTTTGGACTGTCATTCTGACGGCACCCATTCACTGCAGAGGATCCATTGGTGAACAAGTAATGTAATGCTAAATTTCTCCAAATCTGTTCTGATGAAGAAACAAACTCATCTACATCTTAGATGGCCTGATGGTGAACTATTCCTTTAAAAAATAACCCACAATAATCAAGTTTTTAATGATCTCCCTGAGGAGAATGTCCCACTTTGAGGTCATCTCTTGTCCATCAAATGACAGAATTCTTGGAAAACCCAAACTTGAAAATCAAATAAGAGGCGATTAACGCCACTGCCACCGCCACGCCGGTTAAAACAATAGCCCAGAATGTGGTTCTGTCTGTGGGAGAAAAGACAATAATGATTTTACAAACAGAAGAATCAATCAACAGCTTCAGCAACAGAAGCGTGACTCTGTTGGTTGTACAACACACACACTGCCAGCAGCAGTGCAGCAGTCCTGGCGCGGCCTGGTGGGAACACAACACCAGTGTACGGGAGACTACAAGAGACTATTGTGGCACTATTCCTCATTTCGCATAAAAGTGCCTGATGAATCATTAAATGCAAATGCGAAGCTTTTTCAAGACCACAAAAACACCCCGTAGATAAAGAATGAACTTTGGGATAAGTCAATACTGTGAGTTTAAGATAATCGACTTGTATAAATATGCTAAATGTCACAAACACATGCATGTTTCCTTCCTCATTTTCAGGATTTTCATTTCAAATGGAATAGACGCCACCCTGTATCGGAAGTCATTGTTATGGAGTGCTGCAGGGATGACAATTTTTTAGGCCAAAATGCAAAACTAGGTTAGCACTTCTGGTTCAATTGTCCAGAATTCAATGGGTTTTTGGATAAATGCCTGAAATAAGATATGTGTTTAACACAAGCTCAAAATATACTCATGTTTAAATTCAAGATATTCAGGTTTTATATTCATGTTATTCTACAACATAGAACATTAATGTAATAACCCCTTGTAATTTTTAAAGCTCCTATTTGTATTTTAAAAAGTGATTGCTGCTAACAAGTGGCTAAATGGCACTAGAGGTTGGCAGGGACATCGCACTCTTGCACACTATTCTAACTCAAACTTTAGATAGGGAAAATGTTTTTTAAAAAGTCTAAAAGTCGTCAGAAGCATAGTGATGGTGACGTTGAAGTTACAGCCTATGTGTATCTTTTTTCTTCTGCCGATTGTGTTTAGGCTTCATAAAGTTATTTTCATTTGTGAAGGTTATCATTCTGAACAAGATGTGTAAGAATCATAAAACTGTGTTGGTCACAGAGCTTATTTTCCGCAATAATCCAAACTCCATAGGAAAAATCCTATTGTTTTTCTCAAGGGAACCAATATACACCATCACTGCAGAACTATATTGAACAGTAAGGGCTAGTTCATGTGGGCAGTGGAACGGGAAGAAACGCAAGGTCTTGAGATGTGTTTTTTAAAAGTTGAACTTCTCTTAACTTAAGCGCTGCGTTTCTGAGAACGCCATGTCATGCGAGATGCTTCAAAAGCTGTATCGCATTTACAAAAACATGGAAATGTAGCGAAGTGGAATGGAAAAACATTCTGTGTGAACAGCCTATAAGGATATAAAAAACACTACATCAAATTTCAAACTGAGATTGAGAGAAACGCAGAGGCAAAGTGTCAGATTAATGTTTATTTGATCAAAACTGACCTGTAGATTTGACGATGAACACTTTGCTGTCTCTTCCCAGAGCGTTTGTGGCGGTGCATGTGTAGTTTCCTGGACTGAGTGCTGAGGACTTGAGCACTGAGGAGCTGTTCTTCTCTTTCAGATGATCCCATGTGTACGTAGAAGCCGGGTTTGCCTTCACTGTACAATCTAGCATGACCTTGTCGTCTTTAATGATGGTCTCTGTTGAACTGGAGTGTTGTGGTTTATCTGAGGAGGACAGAGATACATTTCTCAGCACAACAGCAACATGATGAGCAGCTGTTAGTAACAGATCACTAAAGATACTGCACAACTGAAACCTTTTTATCTGAGTTCATTCAATTCATAATGTCATTTTTAAGTTAATATGCAAATCTCTGTGTGTGATGAAATATGACAGTTGCACATCCGTCACAGTAGAAGGCCCTACAGAAAATATAAACTGAATTATATGGCTAGCTTAGCAATAATAAACTTACAGTATACTTCAACATTAAGAGGTTTTGATGAAATTGTAGGATGAGGTTGAGGTCCTTCTGCTCCCAGATCCAGCTCTGCTTCACACCTGTATTGAGCTCCATCATCAGCTCTGTCTGGACGGATCAGGAGTGTGGCTGTTTTATTCACTGGAGTCTCGCTAGTGTCAGTGAAGGTGGTTTGATCCAGCAGAGTCTGTCCTTTGTACCAGTTGACAGTGAGATTCTGAACAGGAGCCACATTGTGAACGTCACACTGGAGCTCATACAGCTCTCCCTCCTTCATTGGTCCATTGTGATTCACACTGATGAACACACTGTCTGGAGTCTCTGTGGAGGAAGATTTACACACTCTGAAATCTGCTGTGATGAATGATGAATGTACATTTATTAGATATTTCTGAGAATGAACAGAAAAAATATCAGTAACAGAGAAACTGACTGTAAACAGTGACTGGGAGCTCTTCTTTACACTGATCCTCATTGCCTATTTTATAGTTTATGTAGCAGAATGGCTTTATGTCCCATTCTGTCAGTTCTGGCACTCTCCATGTGATCAGACTCTGGTTTTTGGTCATGGGCACTCCCCCCTCACTGGCTTCCCATCCCATCCCTTTATGCGGGACTGAAGTGCTACAGTTAGCTGCAACAGAACCGCCGTATCTCACAACAACTCTCTGTGGGTTGAGCTGAACAGGACATTCAGCTTGTGTACCTGTTAAACACATTTAAGAACACATAATTGCATATAGGTATTGTTTACCTGACAGACTGAACACAGATAACCAATTAACACACATTAAAACTTGCAATAAAAATGAGCGTCTGGATTCTTGGGTGAGGGTTTGTTATTTTATTGAGTTTATTGACCAACTGCATCAAACAAGAAATACAAACTGCAAAAAAAATAAAATAAATAAAAATGTTTTTGGCTATTGTAGAAGACCATCGGTCTATGACAGTTCATGATTCTTTTAAAACAAAGAGGCTCATCAATTCTTACCATCTGGGAAATGAAACTAAGAAATTCACTGACACAGCAGGGTCATTCTAAAGCAAGTGTGTAACAGTGTGGGCATAACCTTTTACCATGTGCTATTATCTTTTCTAAAGATGTCAAAGAAAAATCCAGTACATTCATTTTAAATTTTCATTTTATTTCAGTATTGTCTCCATAAATATGCATTTTGTCCTGTCCTGGCCCCGCCTTCTCAACCTTTCCTTTCTGTTTTAGCAAGCAAGAACATGTTGTCACAGGAAATAAACATTTTATTCATAATTTAGAAGACAAATTATTTTATTAAAAAATCGTTTCCACAGGTTGTCAACCATGTTTTCATCATAACTCACCCTTATTAATATAATTACACTTTAATTTTTTAAGATAAATGTTATAATCATTATCGTTTCAGTAGATCTGAACTCCGACAGGTGTTTGCTTTTTTGTCGTTTATTAACGTTTGTCAGTAGGACTATCTAAACCCCGTGAATACAAACAAATAGATGTTTGTAGTAATATCAGCAATAAATAATTAATATAATTAATATAATAACAGCTTTTGTCAGTATTGTCATGATGACTGTGAACGCAATATTAGTAAAGGCTACATGAACTGTAAAACTACTAACTTTCCTTTTCCTACTTTAAGGACATAGCTATACAACAAATCCACAGGTTATATGAACTGCTGAAGAGTTTTGCCAGCACTAAAAATATTGAGTACTCACGCACAGGTCATATTGCAAGCGCTACTGTAAATAGTAGCGTGGCTCCTTAGTGTACAGTAATGAATTAACTCAAATATGTCAACATTTTAACGCAGAGACAATAGAGGTCAACGACGCTCGGAATCACTCACATGAAAGTAAATGTTTAAAACACATTCAAGGTAGTATGCAACTAGTTAATTATTGTTTTCGCTTCACGTATCGAAAGAATAAAAGGGAAACAAGTCAATACAAACCTGTCAGAGTTGCAAACGCTAAAACGGCCGAAAGATAAACAAGTCCATAAAAACACTGCAGCATATTGTAAGTGTTTGAGGGTACCATCGACCAGACAAAGGCGCGGTTGAGGCGTGCGAATAAATAAACGGGTCGCCTCTGCCTCTGCCTTCAGATTTGTGACTGTCCAGCGCGGCTCCTCCAGCGAAACCCCACCCAAATCACGAGTGGATATGGTTGTCATCGGATAGAAATGAAACCATTTAGGCCGTTCACACTGAAGAACACATGCGCGCAAATGAGTTTCTGAGGGAAGCTAATCCAGTTTCTAAACCGTTTCAAATCTCAGACTCTCTAAACATGACGCATTAGTAACGGGATACAAACCTTCTTATCGACAGAATACGACATTTTCACCTGGTAAAGAACAGGTAAAACCAGCCTATGCTGGTTGGTCAGCTGGTCTCCCAGCCTGACCAGCTAAAAGTGATCAAAATCCCTCTAAAACCATTCTAAACTAGCTACAGCCAGTCTTGAAGCTTGGCCTGGTTTAAATTGGTTCTTTCAACAGGACCGTGTTGAAAAGTTGACTGTTTGGTAAGCACATCAGAAAGTTATTTAATAGAAATAAAGCATCTCCATGTTGGAACAGTCGATACATCGTCCCTGCGGTGCAGCGAAGCGTTTGATGTGATGTTTATAATGTTTATTCAACCTAAGAATAAAACCGTAAACACTGGCCATAATGTGTGTGTGTGTGTGTGTTACAAATGTCTGAGATATAACAAGATTAAAAATGCTAATCGTGAAAGACAATCAAGGGTGCATCTGTTATAACATACCTGCTCGATTTACTGTTGTAAAAAACTATTAAAAAAATGAAAATATTAAAACACCAAATAGAAAAGCACCTGAGGTAAATTCAGATAATGTAGTTGTTATTCATTATGCAGTAGTTATACACAACAGATCTGTATTTAACCGACTTCTGTTCAATACTATATTTTTTGCCAAAGATTGAAAACGATTCTGTGAAAAGAATATTTATTTTATTATATAATTTTTTTAACAAATTAATGATTCATAAAATGTTTTCAACAAATTCATTTACAAATTCAAATGCCATGTGCTTATAAGGACAGATGGTATAAATTCCATAACAAAATTGAAAACCCACCAGAATGTGGGTGAGATTACATTCATATCGAAATTAAACACAGAGATTCTGGAGTGACAAAATTAAAAAGATGGAAATTCTGTCATCATTTTTTTCATCCTCATGTCATTCCAAACTTGTGTGACTTTTTAAGTGTTTTGTGAAACTGGAAAGGTGAATTTTTTAATAATCTTTACATAATGCTATTCCATACAACAGCAATTGATAGTGACCACACATATCAAACTGAAAACAGACAAACATCCATACTGCTTCAGAACATATAGTTATATGGGTTAACTTTATGATGATTTTTAAAAAGCCTTTAGAAGAACACGAGGGTGAGTAAATGGTGACAGCACTGTCGTTTTTGGTTAAACTATGCTTTTAACGTCGTTATACAGCTTGAGCCATAAAACCGGCACAACTATTTTATGTTGAGCATCTTTTTTTCATTTTTTTTTTTTTTACAAACTATGAGGCCTGAGAGAATTTTTTTAGAAATTCATCCAAATATTCTCCCACAGGTTCAGCATGAGAAACCTCATACCCAAGCTTTGACTTCTTTACAGCCACCGTGTGCTATATTTCCACCCTCTAAAGTGTGGATTTTACCAAAGGAATAGAAACATCAAACAAATAATCTGTTTAACGAAGTAACACACTCAATCATGGTGTCTTTCACAAGTCACACTTACATATATACAATCAGACTGAGCAAATAGGATGCCTATTTGGCATGCTGTCTGAAGGGAGGGCTCCGAGCTCCCAGAGAACTCCCCCGTATCCCAAGCTGGGATAGGAATAGTTAGGAGTGAGGTGTTGGGGCGGAGGACGGACGCCTGAAATCTGTCTTGAAACAAGTTGGCTGTATATATATATATATATATATATATATATATACTATCGTGCTTAATTGGTTGATTATCTGAACGTGCTCCTCCTGAACTTTGTTAATAAAACATCATTTCCTAATACATACTGTATAGCTTTTGACAAAACACAAATATTCAAACTGACCAATGTGCCAGAGACAAAAGAATAGTCTTTTTACACAATTTAACAAGAGCCTTCTTCCCTTAAATGACGTACAAAGCAAGTATTACTCAATCAATCAAAGTCACTTTGTAGCTAATGAACATTCACTTATATCAAGATCGTTGATTCCTGAAAACGTCCACTGCAGACATCAGGTCCGTTAATTTGAAATCATTTAGCATTTCTTTGTCATCGGTTCTGTCACATATTTTCTTCTGGTCCATTAAAATGAAAACTAAAACGTTTATTTTGTGATGTAATTAACAGTTGATAAAAACTGGATCTAGGAGTGGAGTGAATGAACAGGTGCTGAAGAATATACGAAGAAACAAAAACGCCACAAAGTAGGGGGCTAGAGACTTCCAGTGTAAAAATCCCTTTGTGGACAGTGGGACTCGGTAGATGTGCCAAACCCAGGGATTTCATAACCTAAGCAAGGATATTGCTCTGAGAGAGTTTCTTCATAGGAATAGGGTTCTGTTTGCCATTCTGTGCTATGTTTCCATTTTGTGCACTAGGCTTGGCATCCTTCAGGCTATAATGGCCCATCTTGGCTGTTTTGTAGTAGATAGAGAAGATGAAGATGAAGATGACTGAGATGAACGCCACAATGACTGCAATAAGTCCTGCTATTAAGGGCAGGTAATCCTCTGTGTCAAGAGAAATAAAGCACACCAAAAGATCAGACAAAAAAAAAAAAACAGTCTAAACAGACAAGTGCTAAAATTGCAGAAAAAACAATACTTCATGATTTTCCATATCAGAAGCAAACAAGCAAAATGAAATGATTAATCATAGCAAGTGTACATGTGTAATCAAAATAATGCATTCTAATCACATCAAGTTTCTCTTACATAATTTTTAATGATTTGGTTAATTTTTTTCTTTGTGATTTATTGCATATTTGGACTAGTGTGAACATCTGAAAATCATGCATTTTATTTTCAGACATGTTTGGCCTGATCAAAATTTCAGTTTTGAAACATCCCCATATTTTCAACTGCAACAAAGTAGAAACAGCTGTTGGAAATGTAAACCAAAACATATGCAAAAATGCATAGTTACCTTTTAATACCACTTTTACATGTCTGGTCTTCCTGCCAACAGAATTGCTTGCAGTGCAGTACAGATCCTCAGGTGTTGACTCTGTTATATTAAGTTTTTCACTATGTGTGCTATGTACTGTGTCATATGCGCCGAGGCTCCAGCTGATTGTTGGTTTTGGGTTTCCCTCGGCTTCACAAACAAGCACCTCTGGATAGCCTCGAAATACAGGCACTGTGGAAGGCAGTTTGATCTCATTGATGATTGGTTTATCTACAGGAAAGAGCAAAGAGAAAAAGAGGTTTCACATGATAAAAATGAGGACCACTGAAATACCTGCAAAGTAATCCTGGACAAATTATTGTACATACAATGTACAGTAATGCTGAGATGTTCTGATGACATTGTTGGATAATGTTGGGTTCCTTCTGCTTCACACCAGTATTGAGCTCCATCATCAGTTTTGTCTGGACTGATGTGGAGTTTAGATGTGCTACTGACTGGAGTCTTGGTGGTATCAGTGGAGTTGGTTTGACTCAGTTTGTACCATCTCACAACAACACTCTTAGATGGATCCACATTCTGAATGAAGCACTGGAGCTCATACTGCTTGCCCACTATCACTGGTCCACTGTGATTCACAAAGCTGATGGAAATATCTGCAAGACACATTAAGCATAATAGAGTTGCTGAAATGTCAAATACTTCAAATAAGTGCAAAATCAAATTATTTTAATCTATAGAAAAAAATACATTACAGAAATTTAGTGGTGTCAAACGATTAATTTCAACTAATCGTGTCCAAAATAAAAGTTTTTGTTTACATAATGTGTGTGTACTGTGTATATTTATTATGTATATATAAACACACACACATACATTATATATTTTGAAAATATTTACATGTACATGTATATTTATATTCATATAATTTACATTATATATAAATATTTTTAATATATAACCTTTTTTTTTCTTAAATATATACATGCATGTGTGTGTGTGTGTGTGTGTGTGTGTATATATATATACACACACACACACACACATAATAAATACACACATATTTTACAAAAACTTTTATTTTGGTTGCAATTAATCGCGATTAATCGTTTCACAGCACTAGATAAATTAATTTTTAAAACAAATGCACACTGGTGTTGACTGTTGCTGACTGTTGTTTTGGCACAAGGCAGGTTTCTAGCTGGTATGTTGCAGCTATTGCTTTTTTGACCACCAAGGACCATCAACCATGTTTCAAAACAATATATACAACTTTCTATTTTGTATTGTTATAAGTGTGGTATTTCCAGCAAATGCCAGCGGGCTATAATGTTTTGCACTTCATGGACATATTTTCTCTATTTTCTTCTAAAAAAACTCTTAAACCAGCCTACACTAGCTGATTTTACTACAAATAAATCCAAAAACCATGGTTACTATTGTTAAACCATGGTAACCACAAATGGTTTTGCTACACTAACCATAGTCTAACCATTAGTAGTAAAACTGTGGTAATACAAATGGTGGGCCTAATCAATACAACAAAAAAACATAGTTACTACACTTTTGCTCCAATAAAACCATGGTTAATTTTCGTAAGGGAGTAATCACAGTTAAACAAAACTGTAATGTTTCCTCGTAAATGCTATAGCTTTAGCAGACCCCTAACGTTAACTTGTCTAACGGTAACTAAGTACAGTGCATTTTAACTCTACAGTATATTTGCAATTGCTGACAGACAACTTTTATGTCTGACTGTGGTTAAACTGCTAAATGCAGGCTGTTAATGATAACAAGCAAGGTGTATTTATCTTGTTTGACAACGTTATTCTATCGCTATTTAAACAGTGTTACTCAAAGTCTTTTCAGAAGCGAGTCACAGCGGAGGAAATAAAACACCGGGGCCTTTTAATCACTCTTTAACTTATTTAAACCCCCTTTCTCAAGTTTAACGTGGAAAACTGTCCTGAAAATATATCATTTCTCTTCCAGCTTGTAAAAATACAACACTCGTTATATAATTGTCCTACCATCCAACGCGTACCGCAGCGACAGCAGATCCAAAATGAGACACGTGAAGAGAATCCGATCACTCCGCGCCGTCATTTTTAGTTGTAGCTGCGCTGTATCGAAACCGTTTTTAACCAGCCAACGGTGTTTAATCGTTCAAGCAGTAACAAACACAACACACGGTCTCGGACCCTTCATTTATCGCAGGAAACCACTGCCCAGTCTGCCCTCGCCTAGCTGCCTGTTTTAGTTAATGTTATCCGTCCCCCACACATTTCTCTAAAAGTGCACGTTGCAACTTTATTCATTTGTACTCTGTCACGACAAAACCGGGACTGGAAACAGAGAGAACTCCTTCACCTATCTTTTAGATAAGGCAAAGTCGTTTTGAACATCGCATTAAGTGTTTAAAGGCCACGTTTGAAAAACCACAGCTCTTTACTTCACCCCATTTCCCTTCATTGTCAACACATCCTCGAGCTCAGATAAATAAGGGTGGGTCTATATAAAAACATGCGGTTTCATATCACTTCCCACAACGCTTTCTGTGTCAGAATGAGTCATACTGGACCCCCACGGACATTGTCATGACTAATGCATACTTCCCTACTATACAGTATGCAGAAAGGACTGAATACAAGAGATTTTGAGAGTGTTCAACCACACATAAGTGCCCTTGTGACTGAATTGTAGCAGTTAACAGAAACAGGTCTGTTTCTGCAACCCTCAGCGGGTCGAGCTGAATAGGGCATTCAGTAGTGTTCTTCAGGAACGTGTGCTATACAAATAATGAAGCTGTAGAATCAAACAAGTGCACAAGAAGAACAGTTTCACCAGCTAAAGTAGGCTAATGAATAGTACTTCTGACAGGTTTGAAATAATGTAAATCCACATGCAATGAAAACTGAGTTATTTTATTCGTGACAGGAATGGTCCACAAATTTGCCACCATTTTAAAGGGCTCATATGATGCAATTTAAATTTTTCCTTTCTCTTTGGAGTGTTACAAACTCTTGGTGCATAAAGAAGATCTGTAAATTTGCAAAGACTAAAGTCTCAAATCCAAAGAGATATTCTTTATAAAAGTTAAGAGTCAGCCACGCCTACCTAAAACGGCTCGTTCTAACACGCCCCCACATGTCTACGTTGCTCTGTGGGAAGATTTGCATAACGCCGGCCAAATGTTCACGCAAAGAAAGAAGACGTAACTTTTATTCTCGCTGTAGTATTGTTGCGGCCGCCATGTCGTGAAGACGCTGTGTGCTTCGTTGTGAAAGCGAAACTACTTCAGAAGGCGGGGCATAGAGGAGAAACAATAATGTACAGTATGTGGAAAATAATGTGTTTTTTGAACCTTAAACCGCATAAACACATTTCATTACACCAAATACACAAAATAATGTTCTTTTTAGCAGCATCATATGACCCCTTTAAGTCGCTGGGGTATATTTGTAGCAATAGCCAAAAATACATTGTATGGGTCAAAATTATTTATTTTTCTTTTATGCCAAAAATCATTAGGATATTAAGTAAAGATCATGTTCCATGAAGATATTTTGTAAATTTCCTACTGTAAATATATTAAAACTTAATTTCTGATAGTAATATGCATTGCTAAGAACTTCATTGGACAACTTTAAAGGCGATTTTCTCAATATTTTGATTTTTTTGCACCCTCAGATTCCACATTTTCAAATAGTTGTATCTCAGCTAAATATTATCCTATCCTAACAAAGGATACAATACAAAGTTTGAGGGCGCACACTACGTAATATCTGAGGGAGCGCAGAGCCATGATCTCTATATGCAAGCCTAGAGATTTGTGCTGGCGCCCTCTCATATTACAATAATGCACTCTTGACATTTGCCATTAAAATAAAGCCAAAAACTGCCTCAAATGAACTATGAAAACAAGAATAAAGTCATACAAGATGCAATCCATTTCTTATTGGTTAAAATGAACGGAGACTATCTCGTGTTTTTCCATGGGTGCTCGATCATTTCCATGGGTGCTCAGGGGCTCTATCAGCGCCTATGCTTTAAGGTATTTTTTATATATGTTTTATTACCTTATATGTCCAAAACTGTAATTTTTCACAAAAAAAATTAACATCTTGTTGCAACATTACAAAAAACAAGATTGAATATATTTGGTCAAAATCCCATGTTATAAAAGATGAAGTGCTATGCAGGCTATTTAAGACCTTTTTGGCTGATTAGACGGCAATGCTGACCTAAAATGCAAAATGTTTGCCCTCTCTCTCTTTACCGTGAATTCCCACATCTCAGACCTCAAATTCATAAAATATTACCCTTTTTAGACATAGATTTTGAATTAAAGAGTAAAGAAAATACTATACAAAACTTATTGAAACAACCTGTTCAACCTGTTCAGACCTTGTAAGACAAGATATAGCACACTCGGTCAGATCAGTGTGAAGATTTGGGCTGAGTGGGCTGAGTGTAGAGTTAAAGCTCTAGGAATTAGAGTCAGCCGTTTTAGTCAGAAGAAGAAGTTTAAATAGCATTTCAGTAAGTTGGCTTTCTCGAGCCAACTTAACTAAAACATTTTCATTTGCACAGATGTCAATGTATCAGCCAGCAAAAAATAAACAAAAATACATGCACTGGTTAAGGCTTACAAACTGGCAGCCAGTTTCATGCTTTGACCAATGCTATACACATGCAAGCTTCTGAAAAACTATTTTGGCTATTGTGGAATACATCAGTCAGGTTTAGAGCCATTTAAAACAAAGAGGCTATATTCAGTCATTGCAAGTGACCAAAAAAAACTTCAGTGGTGCAGTACTGGTAAAGTAACAGGTCTGGCTTTATTCCCTTTGCGTTTCCCAAAAGGAATCATTGCTAAGATCTTTAGCTAATTTAGCTAGTAGCTACTGCAGTCACAGTACTTAGTACAGTTTTTACAATTTTTATTATTTTACAATATTAATGAGTGAAAATAGAAATGCAGTGAAATTTTATTTAAAATAAATTCTTAAAAATGCATTTATATGTCATATGTTAGTTAACACTTGTGCTCCTATTAAGACAGATGACTATGTGAATTCCATATAATAAATAAAGATTATATTCTACACAAAAAAATAGATTCTATATACAGAGAGGTCTGAGAAAATTTACATCAACAGACCACAAAGTGATAATACAGCTTAGGCACAAGAAAACTCCACAAAGTCACCACAAAATTACAACCTGTAGTACTTTAGTGTCTTTCTCAACATAGTTGTAATACAATATATTATATATATATATATATATACAATATTGACCCTGGCAAAAAAAGTGGTGGGGACATGTCCCACCCCTGTAAATTACGCCTATGCAAATAATACACACATTCTTTCTTTGAGGGTTGTGCTTCACTTAATAAAATTATTTAATAAATACCTGTTTACAATAAGCACTTATTCGCACGTACACAGGACAAAGTTTGAGGGCACACACGTAATATCTTAGGGAGCGCAGAGCCATGATCACTAGACTATTGGAGAGCAAGCCCGCTGCAAGCCGAGAGATTCGTGCTAGCACCCTCTCATATTACAATAATGCACTCTTGACATTTGCCATTAAAATAAAGCCAAAAACTGCCTCAAATTAACTATGAAAACAAGAATAAAGTCATACAAGATGCAATCCATTTCTTATTGGTTAAAATGAACGGAGACTATCTCGTGTTTTTCCATGGGTGCTCGATCATTTCCATGGGTGCTCAGGGGCTCTATCAGCGCCTATGCTTTAAGGTATTTTTTATATATGTTTTATTACCTTATATGTCCAAAACTGTAATTTTTCACAAAAAAAATTAACATCTTGTTGCAACATTACAAAAAACAAGATTGAATATATTTGGTCAAAATCCCATGTTATAAAAGATGAAGTGCTATGCAGGCTATTTAAGACCTTTTTGGCTGATTAGACGGCAATGCTGACCTAAAATGCAAAATGTTTGCCCTCTCTCTCTTTACCGTGAATTCCCACATCTCAGACCTCAAATTCATAAAATATTACCCTTTTTAGACATAGATTTTGAATTAAAGAGTAAAGAAAATACTATACAAAACTTATTGAAACAACCTGTTCTTTATTGTAAGACCTTGTAAGACAAGATATAGCACACTCGGTCAGATCAGTGTGAAGATTTGGGCTGAGTTGGGAGTTCGTAGAGTTAAAGCTCTAGGAATTAGAGTCAGCCGTTTTAGTCAGAAGAAGAAGTTTAAATAGCATTTCAGTAAGTTGGCTTTCTCGAGCCAACTTAACTAAAACATTTTCATTTGCACAGATGTCAATGTATCAGCCAGCAAAAAATAAACAAAAATACATGCACTGGTTAAGGCTTACAAACTGGCAGCCAGTTTCATGCTTTGACCAATGCTATACACATGCAAGCTTCTGAAAAACTATTTTGGCTATTGTGGAATACATCAGTCAGGTTTAGAGCCATTTAAAACAAAGAGGCTATATTCAGTCATTGCAAGTGACCAAAAAAAACTTCAGTGGTGCAGTACTGGTAAAGTAACAGGTCTGGCTTTATTCCCTTTGCGTTTCCCAAAAGGAATCATTGCTAAGATCTTTAGCTAATTTAGCTAGTAGCTACTGCAGTCACAGTACTTAGTACAGTTTTTACAATTTTTATTATTTTACAATATTAATGAGTGAAAATAGAAATGCAGTGAAATTTTATTTAAAATAAATTCTTAAAAATGCATTTATATGTCATATGTTAGTTAACACTTGTGCTCCTATTAAGACAGATGACTATGTGAATTCCATATAATAAATAAAGATTATATTCTACACAAAAAAATAGATTCTATATACAGAGAGGTCTGAGAAAATTTACATCAACAGACCACAAAGTGATAATACAGCTTAGGCACAAGAAAACTCCACAAAGTCACCACAAAATTACAACCTGTAGTACTTTAGTGTCTTTCTCAACATAGTTGTAATACAATATATTATATATATATATATATATA